ATCCAACAGATTCACATTCATACTTTCTGATATGCAGTCAGCTCATTCTGATTTGAGGCTCGAATGAAAACATCTAAAAGTTTATTTCCATTTTCAGAATTTTGAGAGGTTTTTGAAGAATCACATGATTGGTATTTTGAGAAGGAGGTTCTTCTAGAGTAAGTGCATTCGACAATTTATCAAAAAAAATTGGGGAGGAAGAACAACCTAAGCCATGACCATAGTCTGGAATTTGATAATCTAAGATTTTTCTATGGTCAATAGAGGCTTGATTCAAGTTTTTTACTATTGCCTTTTCTTTATCAATTTCTCTAGCAAGGTTACATTTTATCATTAAGATGCAGATGATTTTCACTTTTCAAATTCGTGTATTGATTAATAAAGAACATTAATAGAGAATTTATAGATTGTTACAGAAAAAAGATAAAGTTAAGACCTAATCTAAACAATCTACGAATCACATAGAAGATGCACAAAGAAAATAAGAACAAGAAAGAGAAGTTTGATGAAGAAGAAGAAGAACTATAGGATGGAACAAAAATAAGATGTGTGTCTTACTACGGTAAAGGTTCTTCTTAGCTATTTATTGGAGAGATTTTCCTTTGTCTTTAGATATGCAGGCTTTTGGCCACATATGAGCAGTTCACTTTACAAAGTTGCTAAGCACGTTTTGAGACAGTAAAGTAACTATGTACATGTACCTTTATGTGCAAGGTATAGGGTTGTCCTTTTGTGCATATAGGATAAGACAAAAACTAAATCTTGTAAAGCAAGATTCATTTGATCGTTCACACTGATTCATAATTGAAGGTTTTTCAGTTTCCATTATGTCTTGCTCAGATTCCACACTTTGATTTAGGCATTCTTCTTATAACTAAATCCATTTCAGATGATGAACTGTCATGTCTCTATCTTCAGCTACCTCTTCGACATTGTTGAAGGTTCCTTTGGTGTGATTTTGTCTTTGGGGAATGCTCAGGTTCAGTGTTATAATCGGGTTTCAGACAACCTGGGTTGAGCTAAACTTATACATGGTTATTATGTGAATTACGTGATGACATGCTAATTATTTAAAATACATGAATAGTATGCATATATATATATATATATATATATGAAAAGATGTTGTTGTGCATACATGAAATAGGTGTGTGCATATATAGTATAAAGCATACGTGGATTATATTATTTAAAAATATGAAGATGTGGTATCTTCATAGTGAAGAAAGGTATTTTTATAATAATAAAACCCACCACCGCCCAAACAATTGTATAATGATAAAACCCTGTCACCGCCTTTGTGAAAATAATTTAAAGAGAGAAAAAGAGATAAGATCTTATCTTATCATGTTATTTGGGAAAGAAAAACTTTTAGAGAGAAAAAGGGTGTTGTGCAGTGAGAGCATTCTTGAAGAGAACCTGTTGTTCAAAAAGTGTTTAAAGATTTGCTGGGTGTGTTATAATCTGATAAGGTGAGTTTTGAAAACTAAAACCTCTATAATTGTAGTTATATAAACTGTTGGGTTTTAGGGAGTTATGATTTAGAAATAGTTTGGTAAAACTGTTTTCTAACAGTTTAAACGAAGTATTTATGATTTTAGAGTTTGAAACTGTTTTGGATAGATGAAACAGTAACTATACTTTAAAAGAGTTTTGGAAGATGATATTCTGTTTTAAAGGATTAAAGAGGGATTTGATATGAGGAAATTTATGAAAGAATAGATTGTTCTTGAATTTGAAGGTTTTGATGATAAAAATATTTTTTTGAAACCATTATTGGTTGAAAACTATAGAGGACATCTCATCAAGACGGTTGTGACTTCGGTCTGTCTTCGTTTGAGATTAATCTATAGACTTTATGGATAAAACTATGGAGGATATTTCATCAAGACGGTTGTGACTTCAGTCTGTCTTCGTTTGGATCTAATCCGTAGATTTTAATGAGGAAATAAGGGTTGCATATCAAGGAGAGGTGTAGCTTCGGCTATAAGGGTGGCATATCAAGGAGAGGTGTGCCTTTGGATATAAGGGTGGCAATTGTGTGTGGTTATTATAACTCTTGCTATTATGTCTTTTAAGATTACAATAGATCTGAGTTCTTGCTTCTTTGTGATTTGAAGACTCAGAGATGTTCTTATTAGAAATGATAGTACTGATGTTATTGAGAAGGGGAAAACTTGGTTTATGGTCAATGGTTTTGGATATAATCTGTTTTGGATCAAGTGTTTGATTTTTAAGGAACCAGAGGGGCTCTGGTTGGTAATCAAAATAGAACCAGAAGGTTCTAGTTGTGGATTTGAGAATTATGCAGTCTTTACTCAATGTTTTAGTGGACCAGAGGCTCTGTATCTATAGATAAGAGCTATGTGTCAAAATCATATTTTAAAAGAGTTATCAAAAAGGGTTTTATACTTGGGAAGTTTTCTTACTAGTAAGATAGACCAGAAGCTCTGGTTGCCTATGCAGGTTGAGCCAGAAGCTCTGGTTGGCCTACGCAGGTTGAGCCAGAAGCTCTGGTTGGTCTTGCATTTTGAACCAGAAGCTTTGGCTAGTAGAACCAAAAGCTCTGGTCATATAAAACACATTCTTGGACCAGAAGCTTTGATTGACCTACGCGGATTGGATCAGAAGCTCTGGTTAGCCTCACAGTTTGGACTAGAGGCTCCGGCTAGTAGAACCAGAAGCTCTGGTCATATAAAATCCATCTCAAAATGTGTTTTACCTTTCATAAAGCTATTTTTATCAATAAATTTGATCTATGAATGTTTTGAGAAATTTTACTTAAATAGGAAGCTCTGGTAGAGGAACCAGAGGAGCTCTGGTCCTCTTATTATTTGAAATATTTCTAAGTCTGGTCTTTGGAACCAGAGATCCGATGAACTCAAACAAAATGTGGATTTACATGATTGAAATAGGAATTGATTTTATCTGAATAATGTTTTGGTGATTTTCACCCTGCAACTACATGGAAAAATGGAATCTCACTAGACCTCTAGGTCTAACCCTCATTTTGTGTTTTCAAATGCGTTGCAGGAAATGCAGATTTTAATGATAGTAAAGGAAAGGGAAAAATGTGAATTATTTCCCTATGTTCTTAGCTTCATGAAGATCATGTTTGGATATGTTTTGGAGAATAGATATTATAATTACAAAAGCATGTATTTCGGAATTTTTGAGTTGTGAATTTTGTATGTAGACTCTTGTATTATGGACCTTTGTGGGATTTAACATGTATTATATGAATGAAATATGTGTTATATGCGATATGAGTTATGGGAGTGTTACATTCAGTGAATGCTACATACGTGTTTCAACGATCACTGAATAACCTAGTGAGTATCGCTGAAACTGAGTAGAGGTAACCTTAAGTAAACTTTCACTAAGTAAAAGGGTCATCATCAAATCACTGAGAGAGTTTGGATCAATACACTGCCAATGAGTATTTCAATATGAAACACTCAAAAGCAAGGAATGTGATTGAGAGATGTTTTGGATTGTTGAAAGGAAGATGGAAGATTCTTGCATCCCACTCATCCTTCTCAATTGAAACCCAACTTTGAATTATAATGGCATGTTGCCTTATACACAACTTGATTAGAATGTTTATGACTATGATCCCCAATATTCGATCCTCTTCTTCTTCTTCCTATTCTTTTTAGTGATCGTGAAAGTAATGAAGTGAAATACATTAAAAATATTAGTTGAAACGATGAGTGACTAGCATTTAGAAATACTATGGCTACCAACATGTTCAATACATAGAGAAGTAGATAGATTTTGGTATGATTGTACTTGAATCTTTGACGTTATCTTTTATTGTCAAATTATGTTTACTTATGTTGTATTTGACGTTATGTTTTGTTAGTGTTTAAAAGTGTAAGTAAAAAGTCTCAAGTCTAAAGCCAAGAAGACTTGTTGAGTGACTAAGAACCAGAGCTCAGATACAGAGCTTGGATACAAAGGAGATCATGACTGAAATAGCGCGCCAAAGTTTCCAAGTACTCGGGATGCAGAGCTCGAGTCCTATACATAGAGCCTATGCATAGTACATACAGAACCTTTGGGTCTCAACTTCATTGTCAACCTGTTGGTTCTACTCAATCTCACTTGTACAAATGGCCCTGTCTCCTTTCACCACGTATGCTGAAACTGGTACTCCTACTCTTACATGTGGAGATGGTTGTTGGAGGATGTGTTGAATTTTCCAAATATGCCTATATATATAGATGATTCCTCCAAGGTTTTTCTTACCAATTTTGAGACGCACACTTCATAAGAAACTAGTGAGAGAATTTCATACTTGAGAGAAACAGTTTTTGTGAGATTTTATTTCAACAGAACTGTGTGTTCTTGGTGTAAATGATTATTCTCTAAAACCTTGAAACATTTGACTACGATAATTTCTCGAAAGAGTATTTGATTTTCATTATTATTTACTTGTCGTATTTCATTAACCTACTAGTATTATTGCTTACTGCTTTCGCTCATTTATTTGTCTTTAGCATTAATCACTAGTGTAATTGAGAATCTGAGTTCTTACAATTGGTATCGAAGCCATTTAATCAATCTATTGGTTAGATCGATCTAATATGTTAAAGATTATTCCTCTTTTATTAGGTTAATCTCGTTTTTGAAATCGTTATTCATTCCAGATCCCTGTTTTTCGAGTTTTATTGCATTGTATGTCTATTCTTGTGAATATCAGTTGATATCATTCATTTCATTGAAGATTGTTTTATTTTAAACAATTTCATCAAGTTCTCTTTGATCAATTTATGTTGCTTTAAACCTTGTCACTCTTAGATTAAAATTTCTTTTCATACTCTATTTTCTGTCAAAATGTCAAATCCGACCTGGAATGCTATGTATAGCGCAGGTTCACCAAACCCCCTACTCTTCTCAGGGATGAATATCCCCAATGGAAAATACGCATGATTAAATTCTATGAAGGTCTAGATCTTGAACTATTTGAGTCTCTTAAAAATGGTCCTTATATCCCAATGGCTGTTGTTCCCAGAGTTCCTGCTACACTTACCACTGTTGAGATCCTAGCAATCAGGATCCCTAAGGAAAGGAAAGATTGGGATGATGAAGACAAAAAAATAATCGAAATCGATCACAAATCCAAAAGGCTACTGATCATGGCAATTCCCAATGAAATCTTCCAATCCTTGGATGGATGTGAATCTGCCAAGGATTTGTGGGATCAACTTGCCGATCAGCTGGAAGGTGGAATTAAGATGAGGAAGAATAGACGAGCCCAATGTCTAAATGAATACAAAAACTTTCAAGCTCATTCTGATGAGTCCCTGGAACAAACTTATCATAGGTTCAACACACTCATTAACAAATGCAAAAAGTGTGATGTGATTAGAACCCAGGAAGAGAACAACATGTTGTTCTTGAAAAGGTTGAATGAAGAATGGGAAAATCGGTCTATGTATTTGCAAGCAAACTAGGACTTGGAACAATGGACGTTGCATGATGTATATGGTACCCTACAGGCCCATGAGAAAGAGGTTCAAAAGAAGAAAGCAACTCTGGGTGGTACATAGGCCCTGGTCTCTAAGGTTAACGAGACCAATTCTGCAAGGCCATCTAGAGAGAAGAAGACCAGAGAGAGTGCATATAGAGAAGAGTAGAGAAGAGGAAAGAAAGTGTTGATTGCTGAAAGTGATGAAGAGGACAGAGCATCTGGCCCTAAAGATGATGACATTAGTGCTTGTGCACAATCCTTGGCGCTCATCACTAAGGAGTTTACTAGAAAGATTGGAAGAAGAACATTTGACAGAAGAGGTAGAGAGGAAAGGAATGATAGGTTCAAGAAGCAAGTGTATGAGCCAAAGAAGACACCTCCACAGTTTATGAAGAAGAAGGATGAGAAACCTGAAACACGCAAGCAAAATGACAAATTCTATAGATGTGGGAAATCAGGTCACTTGCTACTGAGTGCAAAGGGCCTCTGGTGAAGGATGATATGTACTACAAAAACAAGTACAAGTATAACCAACCACAGAGGAGCTTAATGGTTGAACAAGAGAATTAGGTCTATCACTCACCTTCTGCTGATGAACCTCAAGAACTCTTCTGCGGCACGGTTGTGGCTAATAAAGATGAGATAGATACTTCTGCCTTTGATTCACATGTTTTCGCTACACCAGAAAATGATTATATAGAGCTTGAACAAAATATAATTTTCTTATCTCAAGATTTTAGAAAACTCTAGTAGAAGCTCCAAAAAGAGAAAGAAAAGAGAAAATTGAGTGGGAAAGAAATGAAGATTTATAAACGAGAAACGAAGCTTCTAACTAAGGAGAAAGAGGAGCTCTCTGTGGAAAATCAAAGAATTTTAAAAATCAAATCTTCCACAGAGAATGTCTTCAAGTCAGAGTATGATGAGCTTAAAAAGGCTCTTGTTGAAAAAGATATGAAGATTGCAGAAAAGGAATGTGATAAACTAAATTCTCTTGCTTTCAAAAATTATTTTCAAAAGAAAAGAGAATTATTGGATCAAAGCTTACAAAAGACAGAGTCTTGATCAAAAAATATCAAGATACTCAGCAAGTGCATGAAAAGATTAATTCTCAACAGGATACAACCGGTCTAGGATTTGAAGACCTAGACCCCTTTACCTACAAGAAGAAATCTACCTTAGAATCTATATTTTGTTTAGCAAAGGAACAAAAACCAGACTTTCCAGTTCTATATGAGTCAACACCTTTCAAGAAAACCAAGTTTGGAATAGGAGCCAGAGCCAGAAAATTGAAATTTAAAAATATATCCTATACTTCTGTTAAGGCTTTACCAAAAATCAAACAAATTGATTTGAAAAGCATACAAAAGGACAAAGTTTTCTGCTTTGGTAGTTTTGATCAAAAAACTTAAAATCGTAAGGCTGATGAGTTCATCCCTAATAAAATAGAGATAAGGTTAAGAAGAGATTTTGAAAAAGATTTAGTAAAAACTTTGGATCAATGCTTAATGTTAGAATATACAAAAAAAAGTGAGAATGATCTTTGAGTGTGACCTGCTTGAAGCCCTGGATCAATGCTCTGTATCTAAATAAAGTGAACCAGAGATCATCCTAATCAGAATGCTTGATATAAACTCTTCCATGAAAAAGGACGAAGATGGCTTTGACATATATCCATGGGAATCTCAAAATTTCAATCAATTGAAAGAACTCTCGGATGGAGATTTTTTCAACATCAGTACAGATGAGTTTTTTAAAATTTTAAATTGCCACAAGAACTCAATAATAACTCTAATATCGGAAGTCGCAAACGATATTTTCTTGATTCTGACTCTGAGTCAGAAGAGGAATTGAATAAATAGCATACTGAGACAAAGATAGTGGCATCAGAACCAAAAGTTGCAAAACTTCCAAATGGGATTCCTGTTAAATCTGTTTCAGTAACGATAAAGAGGAAAAAAATGCCCATGAATCCTGACTTCATGGATATATGCTTAAAGGCCAAATCTTGTCTTGAGCTTGAAAAAGAGAAAAGAGCAAAAGAAAATAATTCTAAAACTTCTATTCCAAAGTCTTCGACTTCAAACTTTCATAAGCATGTTAAGTTCACACAGGAACAGAAGGAGAAATGGATCGCTAATGAAAAACTTGATTCCTCTATTTCAGTGAAACCTCTGAAGGTCAAGAAGGAAAAAAGGAACCAGAAAGTTGCATAAGAGAAGACAAAGGCCAATTCTAAAAAGAATTAAGTCTGGACTAGATAGGAACTTCAATAGAACATCTGATGCTAGGACAGATTGTAATAATAATAAGGCCCTAAAATTTCAAAAATCAAATGAAGCTTTTTATCATTCAAATTTTCTTCATAATTGCACGTCTCTGTCTATTGCTTGATTTGAAGGAACACTTCTCTGGCTCTCACTGCATTATCTCTGGGTCCAACAAAAGAATTTTTCATAAGATCCAGAGGAAGCAGAATCCCAAGGCCAAGACTGGCAGACCAGCTACGACTAGAAAACCAACTTCTTAAAAAGAAACGTCCAAACATAAGAAAGAAATCTCAAAGCCTAACGTTAAAGGACCCATTATGAAATGGGTACCTAAAAATCTCTAAATTTGTTTTGCAGAAACAACATGTGCACATCTGGTATCTTTACTATGTATGTTCAAGGCACATGACTAGAAACAAAGAGTTTTTATGAGACCCCCAAATTCCACATTTGCATATAACACATATTTCATTTTTCAAGATACATAGTATACACCACATAGGTCCCACTAGTACAAGGATTCTTATATGTACAAATTTACATATGAAAATTTCCAAACTAAAAATCCCTGCACTAAGACATGTATAACTACATGTATCTTCAAAATAAGCAATCATCAAGTTGATCTTCCAAAAGTAGATATCATATAAGGAAAATAATCACATTCCCCTTCCCCTTAATATCCCTTGACCTCCCGGTTTTTGCATTGCACATTTTTAAAACACAAAATGAGGGTTAGACCAGGAGGTCTAGTGAGTAAATCCCTTCTTTACATATGTAGGGTGATTAACACCAAAATCTCATAAAGTAACTTTTACATAGCAGTATTTGCATTTCAGCAAAATAATGTAATCCAACAAGATTATCAAAATATGTGGCCAACAGTTACTTTAACCCATGATTCAAATGCATTTCTCTAAAACCCATAGTTTAAAATAAAACTCTAACTCAATGGGCCAGAGCCCCTCTGGTCCCACAGACTAGATCTCATCTACCTTACGAAACAAAGCCTCTATATCTAAAAGAATAATAACCAACCAGAGGTTCTCTAGACCAAATAAAACCTTTGATCCAAAAGAGCATAACTTAATTTGAAAAGATGACAGAACTAGAATCAGGGCTCCTCTGACTCTTAAATTTTATTTATAAATATTTTTGAAGAAAAGATAATTTTAAAGAATTAAACACAGAACTAAGATATAGAGCTTCAATATGAAACATACAGAGCCTTTGGTTATAAAATCCCAAGGTATTTAAAACCCTTTTTGCATAACCAGAGGTCCTCTTGTCCTTATATAAGACCAACCAGAGCCCCTCTATATGTACTAAAACATTGATAGAAACTTTAGGCAATAAATACCTCTGATGACAAATCATCTTCCCCTTCCCCTTCCCAATAGCATATAGATTATTATTTCTAACAACAAAAATATATCTAATTCATCAAGTCACAAAGAAATGATGATTTAGAGTTATTGTATTTAATTAGTGATAATAACAAGAGCTATAATAATATCCACATCTGACAATGCCTCCCTTATTCCATGGTACACCTCTCATTGATATGTCACTCTTATTTCTTCATTAAAATAGGGTTACTTACCAAAACAGACATAAGTCACCACATCTGGAAGTACCCATCACTCAGTTCAAAGCCAGAACAGACAAATGTCACCACGTCTGGGGGAACTACATTTTAAAACAAGTTTCATACCAAAACAGACTTACATCACCATGCTTGGTAGAAACATTTCCCAAAATACGGTTTCATACCAAAACAGACTTACGTCACCACGCTTGATAGAAACATTTCCCAGAATACGGTTTCATACCAAAACAGACTTACGTCACCACGCTTGGTAGAAACATTTCCCAAAATAGAGTTCCATATCAAAATAGACTTACGTCACCACGCTTGGTAGAAACATTTCCCAGAATACTGTTTCAAACCAAAGCAGACTTACGTTACCACGCTTGGTAGAAACATTTCCCAAAATACGGTTTCATACCAAAATAGACTTACGTCGCCACATTTGGTAGAAACATTATCTTTTCACATTTAAAAGATATAAAATACCCCTTTCATCATAACAAATATAATACACATATAATTGTTAAATTGTGAAAATCCCAATAATTCAAAATTCAACACTTAAAAGCTTGTACATATAATGTATATCCGGACAACCTATCCGGCCAACACATGTCCGGACAAGCTTGGTCGGATTTCGTATCCAGACAACAACAATTTTTTAGCAGCAAACCCCTTATCTGCTTAACACAGTATCTGGATTCTTATTAATCATGTCAACATTGTGACTGGTGAAGCATCTTAAATTAAACAAGTGACTGGATACCATCACTCATCGGTCAATACACTAATCGGACCTTGCTTTATCCAGACACTATTATGTCCAGATATAATCATAAATGAACAACCCTCTATCCCAATCCGGACAACACTGTATCCAGATACAATTTCCATTTAACATGCTAACACTTAATTCGTTCAACAATGTGATCAGACACTCCCAATCCAGACAACACCTCGCTCGGATATACCCGTCTCCGGACGACACAGTGACCGGATATCTCCCAATCAGGTCAACATTGTGGCCGGTAACATTCTAAATCGGCTGATGAATATGGTCAAGATCAAGATGCAATATTTTCAAAGTATTGATAAATCCCAAGATAAACCAGTAGCCAATCGAAT